CTGACTCTTGTATAGATAGAGCATAGTAGGAATCTGGTACTTCCTGGAGTGGTATAAGGGGCTGACCATTTTCCCAGCATCCTTAGCAATGTAAAATTACTTAAATATTTCAGTCATTTTTCTGGCAAACTGGTAAAGAAATAATATTTTAACAAAAAGAAACAATTTCTCACCTGTTTAATATTCTCGGTAACAAAAGGCTTCAATGCATCCATTGTTACAATCCACGGAGAAATGGAGGTACCTAAATTTTTGGCCAAAAATGGTCCAAGAGGAACATATTCCCATTTTTGGATATCACGAGCTTAAGAAGAGAAACAATATTTTTAAGTCAAAATATGACAACAGAATAACGAACATAGGCTGATACTTTAAGTTTTTGGGTTTTTTTATATATATATATATATATATATATATATATATATAGTGGTAACTCCCCACCCACGACAAAAAAATTAAAACTAAAAATAATTTAAAATTTAGAATTCCCAGCATCTCTCATTTGTGTGCATGTGTAGTCGCAACAATGTAAAGTAATTCAGTCCACTTTAGTCCTAAAAGACAAAACACATGAAAACTTTTTCGCCCACTTTGTCATATATCTTTCCTCCAAGACAATGGGAAACCACTCCCCTCTCTTTCCCAAGCAGTTTATAGCAATTTCAAAATCTTTAATTCAAGCCATAATCAAATAGATTCTTAAGAGACATGACATAATAATAGAAGAAGCCATTAATTTGGTTCTAAACAAAGATCAGCCTACCACTCCAATCATTCATGACGACCATTCCAAAAATATGATCTTCAGTTTCTTGGATTGGGATATTGGAACCCAGCATGGTGGAAGGACCTCCAACAAAGAAAGCCATCTCCAGTTCCATGTCCATTAAATGGCAGGGACCAAAAACAGGGGGTTTAGCTGAAAAAAAAAAAAAAAAAAAAATAATTCACTTTTTCATTCCTAATAACAGTTTTCCCCCTTAATACACAAGTAAAAAAGTGTGGTTGTCAAGATTCCAATGGATTGTGCGTGAATTTTTTGATTAGTTTGATTTCTTTTCTTATGTTTTATCAACCCCCTTATGGATTAATTTCTTGGTATTGGAAGAAGAATTTTTTTTTATTTTACAGGTGAATATATCTGCCCTTGATCAGGTGCTTGAACATCCAGCGTTAGAATTTGAGTCTGAATGAGGAGGGAACAGTTAAAAATTCAAATTTTAAAATAACTGAAAAAAAAAAAAATAAATAAATAAATAAATAAATAAATAAAAATAAAATAGATAAATATATATATATATATATATATATATATATATATATATATATATATATATTTACTTGCAAGAATTGATTAGAAGCCAGTCAAAACTACAATTTTACAAGCTTTTCTTTACACTGTATTATCCGGAAGATAAATTTATCAGAAAAACAAATTTTCAAAAATAATACACTTTCAAAACCAGTTTTTCCTTAAGTTCTTTAAGTTGAAATTATTGTCAGAGCTATCATAAAGTATAACTTATGCATTGTGTATACTATTTTACTTAAAACTGTATTCTTTAAATTGTAATAGCAATGGTTTTGTTAAGAAACGAGATATGCTGCATAATTCTGGATATAAATTTATCATGGAAGATTATGAAATCAATGTACTTTCAGTAATAATAAAAGGAGAGAGAGAGAAAGAAAGAGAAAGAGAGAAAGAAAGAGAAAGAGAGAAAGAAAGAGAAAGAGAGAAAGAAAGAGAAAGAGAGAAAGAAAGAGAAAGAGAGAAAGAAAGAGAAAGAGAGAAAGAAAGAGAAAAAGAGAAAGAAAGAGAAAGAAAGAAAAAAAGAGAAAAAGAGAAAGAAAGAGAAAGAGAGAAAGAAAGAGAAAGAGAGAAAGAAAGAGAAAGAGAGAAAGAAAGAGAAAGAGAGAAAGAAAGAGAAAGAGAGAAAGAAAGAGAAAGAGAGAAAGAAAGAGAAAGAGAGAAAGAAAGAGAAAAAGAAAGAGAAAGAGAGAAAGAAAGAGAAAAAGAAAAAGAAAGAGAAAAAGAAAGAGAAAGAGAAAGAGAGAGAGAAAGAGAAAGAGAAAGAGAAAGAGAGAGAAAGAGAGAGAGAAAGAGAGAGAGAAAGAGAGAGAGAAAGAGAGAGAGAAAGAGAGAGAAGAAATTACTGGCAGCCAGTGACTATGTGGCTTTGGCATTTTCACCAAACAGATTCTCAAGGCCACAAGAATATGGAGTTCCTAATGATCATCCAATTAAAAACTGCATCAATTACTTTCATCAGGTCTCGTCTGTCCATTAGGTCTCCTGATTGGGGTTCCAGAGATGACCACAGAAGATGCTCGACCATGGTAACCAACAGGAAGGTGAGTCCTTTGAAAAGATAAAATACAAGTAACACACAATTATACCAAAAGACTAAGAAATATCTTAATAAATCACTTCTGCTTTTATCATTACATTTATGGAATTTAAAAGTTGCATGTTGGTGTAATGTAGGCATGTGTGTGTGTGTTTGTTCATATGTAAACAACTAATTGTAGAAGTCTAAATAATTAACATAATTGCATGACTTCAATTACATGATAAGATAAAGAACAAATAGGAAACATTTATGAATCTAACATGTTTCATATCGGTGACATGATGTTTTATGATGTTTTATGATGTGACATGATGTTTCATATCGGTGACATTTATGAATCTAACATGTTTCATATCGGTGACATGCAATGTATGTCAATTAGAGCATGGCATAACCAACATTAAGATTCTTCTTCCAGTCACACGAAGGATTTCCTGAATTGTAACAAGTACTCCTTCAATGGTGACAGAATTCAGTATTTTTTTTTTTTTGTTAAAAATAAAAGAAATTGTCCAGAAATACTAAGGAAGGTGCTGGAGATGCAGAGACTATGTTATTCATTCACGGAGACGTTATGTTACTCATTTCCCACTGACAACAACTAGACACATAATAATAGTTTGGTTTGGTTTGTTTTACAGCATTCAATCTCAATGGGTTATTTAATTTCCGACAACAACATTTTTTGGACAGATTCGTATGAATAGAATATGTATTCTTTGGTTTAGATTGGTTTGGTTTATTTTGTTTTACGGCATATCAACCTCAATGGGTTATTTAATACCAATAAAAATTTTTATTGCTGGTAATATTTTGTTTTGTCAAAAATCTGTCTCTGGTAATATTTTTCCTTCAAAAAAGTATTGCTGGTAATAGTTAACTATTTGCCCATAGCTGGGACCTCAACAGGTGCTACCACCCCGGGTCAGGGTGGACCTGGGAACATCAGCAATTCGGAGGTGGTTCCCCACTCCTCAAAACCCCCTGATTAGAGGCCTTGCTGCTGAACATAGCTTATCTTACCCAGGATGTGGATGTAGTTAAACGTCTTACCCAGGACAGACACATAATAATGGAGGCATTTACATATACACACTTACCAATTAGGCATCAGTGCATTTTCTGGTCCTCGGAACATGCATCCCACATTATAGGCATGGTTCTTTGAAGAATAAAAATCTGTATAATCACCTGTAAAATAAATGAAAAAGAGAGATATATATCTATATTCTCTTCCCATCACAACCAAAGAATAAAATCTGGACTAATCATAGGATTCAACCTCAAGGCCCTTCGGATATATATCCCTGAATACCTAAACAAAGAAGAGAAATATATTGAGAAAACATTCATACTTCTTCACTACCCATATTATTTCATCCTCAATGCTAAAAAACAAACTTACAAAATCCATAAAGCAGGAAAAAAAAACAAAAAAAAAAAACACACACAAAATAACAAACACACACAAAATAACACTTACCTGGCACAGGGCTCATCCCTGGGCTGGTGGTATCATGGCTAGGAGTAGCTTGGACCGGCTCCGGCCTGGACCAGCTAGGACAAGCTATGACTAGCTCTGACCAGCTTGTACCAGCGGCCCAAGTGAAAACACTCAGGTCCCCACATTAAAAACTGACCTTGTGTCACAACCCGACTCAGTGGGGGGGGAGGGGTCAACAAGTAAAATACACTTACCTGGTGTAGGGATTTGTCTCTGCGCTGGTGTTATCATGGCCACGACTAGCTTGGACTGGCTCTGACCAGTTTGGACCAGCTATGACAAGCCAAGACCAGCAGACCAAGTGAAAACACTTGGGTCCCCACGTTAAAAACCGACCTTGTGTCACAAACTGACTCAGTGGGAGGGTCAAGTAAATACACTTCTAAGGAAACTTACACAAAATAAAGAAAAAATAGAACATAATTCTTTAAGAAAATACATTGATAACTTAATAATAGCATTATCACCAACTATAAACACATGCTTAAAACATTACATTGCTTATCTTTCTTTTAATCCATTTTAAAAGAATCTAAATTGTGCATATCTTATATGGCAAGTATTGTATTTTGTTGATGTTATAAAGATTACCATTTCATTTACAACCTCTGTTATGGTTATTCCTCATTTAGTAACCCTTTCTAGGTTACAATAATAGTAAAATCATTTGCAATGCATTTTCATGGGAAAAATCATTTGCAATGCATTTTCATGGGAAAAATCAAAAATGCATTTTGCAAAAATCATTTTTTCATGGGAAAAATCATTTGCAATGCATTTTCATGGGAAAAATCATTTGCAATGCATTTTCATGGGAAAAATCATTTGCAATGCATTTTCATGGGAAAAATCATTTGCAATGCATTTTCATGGGAAAAATCATTTGCAATGCATTTTCATGGGAAAAATCATTTGCAATGCATTTTCATGGGAAAAATCATTTTTGCAATGCATTTTCATGGGAAAAATCATTTGCAATGCATTTTCATGGGAAAAATCATTTGCAATGCATTTTCATGGGAAAATTTTCATGGGAAAATCATTTGCAATGCATTTTCATGGGAAAAATCATTTGCAATGCATTTTCATGGGAAAAATCATTTGCAATGCATTTTCATGGGAAAAATCATTTGCAATCTATTTTCATAGTTGTTATATACCGTACCTATGAACGCTAATTGATATGTCCCAATCCTCATAAATATGTTGGACACTATTATAAGTGGGGATAATATGCTGTCTAAGTAGGCTACCACTAGCAGTGGTTTACCTTCTTCACGCCGCTGGCGAGTATTGTATTTTGTTGATGTTATAAAGATTACCATTTCATTCCCAACCTCCGTTTTGGTTATTCCTCATTCAGTAACCTTTTCTACATTACAACAAACCACCAATAACACTTCTAGCATAAATTACACAAAATTCATAATCCTACTCTCCAACACCCTTTCTATTAAACACACAAACAAATTAATACTAGGATTGTTACCACCACCACAAAGACAATTGGAGATATAATTAGGAAGAAAATAAACTCAACACCAATTCAAATACCAAGATTTATCAAATAAATTGTTTACAATGCAAAAAGGTTTATATAGGGGAGACATCACGTGATCTAAAAACCTGCACCAACAAACACAGATTTGCATTTAGACAAACGATCAAACTCTCATGTTGCATAGAAATGATGTTGGACATTGATTTCACTAATGCCACCCTAATTAAAAAAGAACATAACGCTGAGGAGAAAATGCTTTGAAAGCTTAACATTATTACCAACTACAAAAACACACCTATAACATTATGTTGCCTTCCTTCTTTGAATCCATTCTTTAAAATCTAATTTCTATCCATTTAATACAAAGCTCATATACATAAAAACAATCCCAGATTAAATTAAGTGCCATCCCACTATGCCAGCTGACTACACAAAGGTGAAGATTTGTTTTACGGCACATCAACCTCAATGGGTCATTTAATACTGACAACTTTTCAAACCCCACCTGGTAATTCCCAGTTAGATAAACATTTTCCTTTCACAGCTGAGGTCTAGATCATTCAGAAACAAGATGTTTTGACGAGCAGTTGACAAGTTCAAGAGGTGAAAAAAAAAAAAAAATAAATAATATCAGCAAAACAGATGTTGTTGGCATCACAATGACCGGAACATGGCAAAGTGCATAGGTGCTGAAATTGGGAGGTTTTAAGTGTGAGGAAGATTACCTCTGATTAGATCATGTGGTTTGAATTGGCCAGTCAGGAAGATTTTGGCAGAAACCCTTATTTAGGTGTGCAGCAGTCACCAGTTGGGTTTTGCAGAGAAAGTAGAGAGAGTCTACATTTAAACAGAGTTAGAGAAGAGTTTTGGAAGATAGTCACAGTTTTCTGCGCCATGTTTTTAATGGATGTCAATGACACATGGCACAGTGGATAAAGGCATTAGTTAGATCCAGCAGTGACAGGACCCAAAGAGAGCGAGTTCAATATCTGGTTAAGGCGGTGGAGAAATTTGAGAGGGGAATTAACAGGAGATAACTGATATCTATTAGACATGGCACATGGAACTAGAACAGTCTACCCCAGTGAGCGAAATAAAGGTTTCAGTTTGACATTCCAACCACCTGATGAAGGCCGGAGCATACAATGGCCGAAACGTAATAAATATGGTGACAAAGATGAGAACAATAGTCCGAATAATGTAAATAGTGTACATAATACCTCATCTCAGAAATATAGACAGATTCCTAATGAGCAGATTCCTAAATACCTAGCAGAGCAAGTTTTAGGAGCAATATCAAAAAACAAAATTTATTAAGAGCTACAAAAGACAGGAAATTGTGGAGAGCCATGATCGCCTACATCCTGAAGGGATACAACAGATAGAAGAAGAAGAATGAGCTTGAGTAAATGGATGGCGGAACAAGGTTTAGGAGAAATAACAGAAAGACAAAATTTATTAAGAGCTACAAAGGATAGGAAATTGTGGAGAGCCATGATTGCCTTCATCCTGAAGAAACACAGCATACAGAAAAAGAGAGAATGATAAAAAGTACACAGACATAGAGAGAAGGAGAAGCAGATAGTCTTTACTTACCAATTCTTGCAGGCAAGTGCATCTCAGCTTTACTCTGAGGAACAAAAGCCCTGAAAGTAAATAAAAAAAATAAATTCTTTTATTAAATACTAGCAGTAGAGCCCGGCGTTGCCCGGGGATATAACAGTAAGAGATAGATCAAGTATTGACCATCATAAAAACTGAAAAATAAAATTGACAAAGATTATTGTTTAAGGTTGACAGACACGCATGTCTTAGTTTTTTTTTTTGTTTTACGAATTGGTCAAACCCAAACAAAAACATTGTTTTCAATCGTTATGAGTCTACCGATTGAATAGAATTTTATTATAAACAATTGTCTTGTAAATGGAATTTTTAAAGCATTCTGAATGTAAAAAAAAAAAAAAAAAGTGTGCAAGACAATAAGAAACACTACCTGCCAAAAAAAAAAAAAAAAAAAAAAAAAAGAAGTTTTGTTGAAATCAGTTGAAAAATGTAGGAAATCCGATCCAATATATAAACAAACAGACACACACAACCTGAGTTTTATAATAAGTATGATGTTCCTGACTGAACAATTTCTTTTTTTTTGTTTTCTTTTTTTTTTCTTTACTTTCAATCAGTTTATCCAAATCAGAAAACCAGTATGTCTTACAGCACCAGGTAAGATATAATTCATATTGGGTTATGCCGCCCCCCCCCAAACAATGTTTTGAATATTTGGTTTCAAGCCAGAGGGACATAATTTCAGAGTATACAGCCTGTAATGGCCAATTAGTGGATCTCTCTCTCTCTCTCTTAGGAATCGACACTGCATGCTTGCTGTCAGTTTCACACTCCAATGTGATCTTCAGATGCATTGAAGATTGCAATTAAGTATGAAACTGACAGTCACCATTCAGTGTTGATGCCACTCTCCAAACTATCTCTGATACTAAGTACTCTTATATAAATAAAAGGAAGAGGTTATAGTAGTCCCAACGAGAGAAAAGTGTGAATATTAAAAAAAAGAAACCACAAACGTTTTTGGTTGTAATGTGGATTTTTAAAAAAAATATACTTTATTTTCCATAATTTTGCTACACACGGTTCTGGTCTTGCAACTGTCATCAGGTAAAGGGTGGAGATTTCCACATATTATTAAAAATAATTCATTTTTTCCTTTAGTTTTTTCAATGTTAAATATTCTCGATATGAGACATTTTCTTTTTGTGTTAGTGATCCAAACGTCTTTCTTCAACTGGCAGTGAAAAGTTCTGCATGAAGTTCGAGAAATGATGGAGTAGTTATTGGCATGCTTATCTTTTAATGGCCCCTGTGTGTTCTTAGATCTATTTCCATTTTCGTGTGCTTTTGTTGCCATGCATGTATATATGTGTATATCCCCTCTCCATACATACACAATGTCTCACTAAGAGGAATCAGTGAATACATCTGTACACCCACGCACACACATACCGTCCCATTACAAGGAATCAGTACATACACACACATACGTACATACACATACTTCCCAAGTTGTGTGGGGTTTGTGTGCGTGCATGTGAGTAGTTCTCCTGCTTTTGTCAATAAATAAATATATATATTAGGTTGGTGCAAAAATAATGACATAATAATGTTTTTTAACATCAAAAAACGACATTCTTACATCATTATTTTTGCACCAACCTATATATATATATATATATATATATATATATATATATATATATATATATATATATATATATATATATATATATACATACAAACACAAACACCCGCATGTGAAAACCCTAATTCCACTTCTAATTTCTTACATCTTTACTTCTTTTTTCTCTCTATATCGTTTCCTGTGAGATAAGCTATTAAATAGGTCAATGTCTGGTCCTTAACCCCACTTCCAAACTATTAAGAATTGTAATAAAAATAAGTTTAAAATCATTCCTATCTCTCCTTTTCCTCTCTAATTTCAACCATGTCTGTCACACACTCTCACCCCACTCTATATCACCTTACATCATCTTAATACTACCCCTCAAAAGTGTATAAAAAATATATGTTAATTTAAATTCATTTTTTTCACCCTTGGAAGTGTGGTCTGATGATCCAGGGAAAAAAAAATTCCCTGGGAAAATAAATTATGACCAATGGACCCTTAAAATTGTTTTCATTGAATTTTTTTATATATATATATATATATATATATATATATATATATATATATATATATATATATATATAATAAATTGTTGGAGGTACAGAACCGTAATATTGTAAGGAATAGATACAAATTATTTCCTAAAGGCATTATGAAAAATAAAAAATAAGAGATGATAACACTTACAGAACAGACCAACCGGTTTTGTTCCCAAGCTCATCAGGGTCAACTGGGAACAATTTAACAATTATTGCAATATATATTGACTCACACAAACACCCTACATACAATTAAAACATTAAAAAAATGAAATGATTAATGGTATAAGGGAAAAAAAAAAAAATTTCAAATGTGTGTGTGTGTGTGTGTGTGTGTGTGTGTGTGTGATTAAAAGAGTAAAAAATTAAAAACCTTTATAAATTTGACATGTTTCACTATTTATTCAGCTTCAGAGTTTTTTTTTTTTTTTTTGCCTAGATATTTCATGAACATCATCGAACCAATCTTCAGAAATGCCAACAGAGACTGACTATTCTGGGTTCAGTTAGAAATTCAAACAAATATCACCTGAAGAAGACTGAACAGCCGAAACCTTGTGAATGTGGCAATAAAGATGCCGGCAACAGTCTGAACAATGTAAATAGCATAAATGGAATACTTTAGTTAAAACATCCCCACCCCATGACAAATTAAGGTACTCCAAAATATGAAGAATATAAACTTACTTTGCCCTCAAGGCAGCATCATCTTTGAGAACAGGTTCTTCCACAGACAAAATACATTTTAACCGGTTTCTGGCCTCAGTCCAGGCAGGCTGACCTAATTCCATAAAGGAATTTAAAATTGGCTGAATAAAGACAAAAAAAATTTTAAAACATCAACAAAAAAATGATCAAATTTGAAAGGTTTTCTTTCTGTCTTGCTGTAAACATACAAGAGACTTGGCCAAACTTTCCAACCAACTGGCTAATGATTATCCCCATGTTGCATTTCAATTCTCGACAGCTTCAGTGTACCCCAAAATCTAAGAAAAGGCCTGCTGCTACTCATAAGATAACAAATTGAAAGAAATGCCACTTCGAGAAATAACACAAACTCTGTTTTTTTTTTTCACCCCAAATAAGGTGGGTGTGCCGCTAGCTAGCATGCAAAAGATTACAGAGAATGAGAGCAAGAGTAAAGAAAGGTGTTTGAGGAAAGGATAAAGAGAAGGACAGGGATCAAAATCAAGGCATCAGAAGATGTTGATTAATAGTTATCAGGGAAGCAAGTAAGAGGAAGGGAGTTCCACTTTTGGGAAGTGAGAGAGAAGAAGCTGTTGGAGAAGAAGAAGCGATTACATTTAACTGTTTCTACAGTAAAAGGGTAAGGCCAAGATGCCAACCTAGTAGCACTCTTAAATTCATGCAGTTGGGGCACCAGTGAAAATAGCTCATCAGAGCAGTTGCCATGAAAATATTTGTAGAAAAGAGAGAGGGAAGCCACATCACGTCTGTGAGAAAATGACTGGAGTTGAGATGTCGGGTCAGAACCCATCACATTGCATATCCGTCTGGATTTTATAGAGAACCTCATGATAAACTGCGGGGACATATATGGCAATAGTATTCAATGCAAGATTGAATGGTAGATTTGTAGATTTGAAAGATGGACGAGAAAAACCTTCTGGCAAAACACAGAGAACCAATTTTCCTTGCGGTAGATGTAGCTATTGATTCAATGTAGTTTTTCCAACTCAGGTCAGTAGGAAATATGAGACCGAGAAGGCAGAGAGAGAAAGATACTCTCATAAAGTTGAGCATCAGCCATGCTGATAAGAAGCAGGGAAGTTTCTCTATGGGGGTAATCCACTCTTTTACTTCCCATTCTCCTTTCAGTCAAAGTGAACGCCACATAGAAGACAAAGAAACAGAAAAATGATTATTAAAGTTGCATTTAAATTTTTGAAGAGCATATTTGACAGGAAAGCAAGGAATCAGAAGAGTTCCACAGGTGAGAAATGCAAGACAAGAAACTGTTAGAATAGAAATGATGGTTACATCTTAGCCATTTCGATTGTAAAATGAGGAGACTGAACTGCAAATCAAATACTGCGCTCAAATTTATAAAGTTGAGGTACCAAAGATGAAAGCTCATCAGAACCTTTGCCATGAAAATAAACTTCAAGGAACTTCAAACCAAACCCTTTATTCAATTTACAGGGACAGATTATTCTCATTCTGTCATTCATGTCTTGGTTAATTGTTCAATTATTGCTAGTCCTGGATATGATGATAAAATACGTCTGGCATCAAGGTCTCTGATCAGGAGAATGGAGGTTTTGAGGAGCATGGATCCAAACTCTTAATTGCTAACTCAGAGTGGTAGCACTTGTTAGGGTCCCAGCTATGGGAAAATAGTGAACCCCTGAACAAAAATGAAAGTAAAAAAATACATTTTAAAAAACAGCAATACATTTTTATAGCAAAATGACCAGCAATACATTTTATCTGTAGTTGAAGCCATAAAATTGTGTTCCAAATATTTAGATTTCAGCATTAAATAACCCATAGAGGTGTTGATATGCCGCCAAACAAAATCAACCAGCCAAAATCCAGATATTTAGATTTCGGCATTAAATAACCCATAGAGGTGTTGATATGCCGTTAATCAAAATCACCAAACATCAATTACTGCTAATCCTGTTTCCACTGAGTCTGATTATCTCCATACTACCTGAGCCAGGGATTGAACTCACAATTCTTATGTTACAAAATTCACTAAGATGAGATATCCTTAGAAAAGAACAGTAGAATAAAAATAGTCTATAATCATAGATTCAAAACTCCCCATAAATTACCCTAGTCAACAGACACCTAAAGACCAGAGGGCAGAATGCTGAAATGTCATATCAACAAAGATGAGGATATTAGTACAACTTTGAATAATGATAACTCCTCTTCCCAGAAATTCAGAGGTCAAAACTATTGTAGAAAGAAATGAGAGATTCTGACTGTGGCCAATGTGCATTGAATTGGAGTTACACTTCAAGTCAACAGAAGTTCTCTGCAGCTTAGTGCCACTGATGAGGATGAAAATATAATGGCTACTTGTCTAGATCCTTTCGTACTAATGCGGGTGTCCCCCCAGAGCTCAATCCTTCGTCCTACTTTGTTTTTAATTTTCATTAATGACCTCCCAACAGCATCAGATCTCAAATTGGCATCTACACTGATGTACCTTTTACTCTTACCTCAATAATAAGGCTGATCAGTTTGACAAGGTCAAAATGGCAGCTGATATCCAAAATGACTTCCAGTCTGTTGTTAACTGGGGCAAAAGATGGCTAGTTAATTTTAACACCTCCAAAACTAAACTTCTCTCCATTAATCATCTGAGAGACCCCTATCTGCTTTCCATCAGAATGGCTGATGCTAACCTCCAGGAAAATAACTCCTTGTGTCTTCTCGGGATAATGTTCTCAGCTGACATGAAGTGGAAAGATTATATTGAATCCATTGCTAGATCAGCTGCTAAGAAAGTTGGTTCACTGTTGTGTGAGACAATTTTTCTACCCAGAATCTATCTGACATATCTATAGGTCTATGATTTGTCCATGCTTAGAATATTGCTGCCACATATGGTCTGGTGCCCCTGCTATTTACCTTGAGCTCCTTGATAAAATCCAAAGAAGAATCAGCAATATTATCAGTCCTGATCAAGTAGCTCAGCTTCAGTCACTTTCCCACTGCCAAAAGGTTGCCTCCCTGTGCCTTTTCTATAAATACTTTCATGGTAATTGTTTGGATGAGCTTTTCGCTATGGTACCTAGACTTCATGAATTTAAGTGCAATACTAGACTGGCACCAAGATCTAATCAATTTACAGTCGAGCTGGCTAGATATAGCTGTAAAGTCTATGCTAACAGTTTTTCTCACACTTCTTGCTTGTGGAACTCCCTTCCAACTCCATGCTTTCCAGCCAACTTTAATCTCACAAATTTAAAAGCAATGTCAATCGCTATCTACTGTCTCCCTAATTATGCTTTCCTCTTCCTGCTCATTAGTAATTGTTCTGTTCCTAATTCTTCTGCACCAAGTAATCTCTTGTCTCTCAGTGGCTTTACTGCCTTGCATGGGGTGATACCAATAAATAAATAAATAAAAAAAGTGTATAAAAAAAGAAACCATGAAATTAAGAGTCATGATTTTTGTATGCTTCACAGCTAAAGGATTTTCTTGGCTCAAATTATCAATTTTGGAATTTTCAGCTTGAAATTTTAAACACTTTTTCATAAACAGAGAACAACAGAAACATTTCAAATGTAACCAAATTCTGAGAAGGCCTTGTTGCAGGAATCCCCACTTTTGTTGCATTCAGTAAATATTTAATGGCTCCTGGTACATTTCTCCTGCAAACAATATTGGCGAACTCATGTGAGTCCGGTCAAAAGTCAGTCACAAAAACATGGAATTTAAACAAACAAGTATTAATAAATATATTATTAAACAGACATGTTACAAAAAGGAAAATGCAAAATAAAGTTGTGAAGAGTTTGAAGCAACCTTCAGTATGTGTCTGAGGTACTCATAACAACAAGAACATCTTACTGCTAGCAAAGTCAAAAAGGAAAAAGGAAGCGGCTTTCAAATCCCACTCTGCTGGGGATTATGATCAAAGGGAGGTAATCCAACAACTATTAAAAGTTGACACAACGACCAATAAACAATGGTAATAAGACTTACCTCTTCAAAAACATTCTGGTTGTTCTTTAGAATAGGTCCATTAAACAAATGCTTGATAACACTTAAATCAAGAATTTGATCTCCAATAGCAACTCCAATTCTATGGCGATTCTGGTAAAAAAAAAAAAAAAAAAAAAAAAAATCAATCAAGACAAGATTTTATATATATATATATATATATATATATATATATATATATATATATAGTGTGTGTGTGTGAAAAAATATATAGAAAATAGGAAAGAACTTGTTAGGTAAATAATCCAAAAGTTCTTTAGTATTTTTTGTTATTATTTTTTAAAAATAGTGCTCGATACAAAAGTAGACCCTAAATATAATTATTTAAAAATACGATTCCAACACGCTACATAAGAGTTCTCCTGTTTTCAAAACAAGAGCCGAAAACTTTTAGTACTTTAATTCAAATAATTATATTGAAGTTTTCGGCTCTTGTTTTGAAACACGAGAACTCTTATGTAATGTTGGAATCATATTTTTAAATAAATAATATATATATATATATATATATATATATATATATATATATATATTATTTATTTAAAATATATGTGTGTGTGTATACACGGTGTGATGAATAAATTGTCATCTAAATTACGAAAAAAGGAAAATAACATGGACATCTTATTTTAACAGATATATTTACCAAAATTACACAAAAATATCTTGAAATACTAAAGAGTAAATTTATTCAATAAAATCACCATTGACTTCAACCATGGCCTCCAGACAACTTCAGAATCTCCTGCAACTCTTCTGGACGGTCTCCTTATTTAAGTTGATGAATGCTACCATAATCCTTGGCTTCAGTTCATCTTTGATATAATAAGGAGTTTTCTTGGGTTCTCATTCACTTGTACCCTACACATAATAATAAAGAGTGTTGTAATGTGGTGAGTTACATGTCCAGATGCAAGGGGTGATGTAATCGCAGAAATTGTCTGACAGCCATGATTGGGTTCTTCTGCTTGTGTGGCATGGAGCAGAGTCCTGTTGCCAACCTCTTGATCCAGGGCAGCACTACCCCCTCAAGGTACTTGATGTAGGCCCCCATGTTGAGTGTGAGGCTCTGTAAGAAGATGAATGGAGACATAATGTCACCATCACTAGTGATCACACCAAACATCATGATGCTGACTGGACATATCATCCAAATCTTTTTGAATGCTCTGTAATTTCCTTACATTGACATACAAACACTCTGAAATGTTCATATTGGAGTTTCCAATGCAAATGGCAGGTAGTACAGCATGCCATTTCCAAATTTCTGGAATTGTGTTGTGGTGCTCTTTTTCTCACAGATGGTGCCCATGTGCAGTTGACAAAAAAAAAAAAAAATTAAAAAAAAAAAAAAAAAAAAAAAAAAAAAAAAAAAATCAAAACTGGCAATAATTTACCTATTGTACCATATATATGGTGATTTAAAAGTCATACACAATAGAGAATTTATATTTACCAAAAGCATAATTACATACGAAAATTTTATTGACTAATTATTTAATTACTGTGTGTGCTGTTCAAAATGTCCTATTTCAATTCTGTGCTTGCATTATTCATTAACATGTCGGAGAGTTTCCTTTGTCATTTTACTGCATTCATATTTAATTTTCTTTAAGTTCCTCAATATTACTTGGGCATGACTGATAAACAACTGATTTCAAATGGAACCACAAAAAAAAAAAAAAAAAAAAAAAAAAAGTGTGTGAGTTCTGGTGACCCCGGTGGCCACTGAACATGACCTTGTTGATCTCTCGATTAACCCCTAAGGTGTACAGCCTTTGCCTCACCATATATATATATACATATATATATATATATATATATATATATATGGTGAGGCAATCTCCTGTAACTCTTCTGGACAGTCTCCTTGTTTAAATTACTAAATGCTGCCATAATCCTACTCTTCACTTCGCCTTTGGCGTTACAAAAACTTATAAATCTTTTACTTCTTTGTAAATTAACGAAGTGAGGGGGGGAGAGAGAGAAGACATGAGTGAGTTAGCAAATACTGACACATTTAAACGGTTACTCACTCATGTCTTCTCTCTCTCCCCACTCACTTCGTTAATTTACATATGTTTAATACAGCCCGTCAAAAATGTGTAAATTTTCTTTTCATTTTTTGTTTGGAAGTAAAGTCTGATGATCCGCAGTCCTTTTAAAAGGGCTGTGGTGAAATAATTTATTACATGGAACCTTAAAGTGGTCTGTTTTTATTTAAATAAATATATATATATATCTTTCACAAATAATTTGGAATTTGCAGTTCTACCAATAATGCAGGTACTGAAACAGCTATCAGAAACAGAAGGTGAAATCAGTGAACCTATTTCAAATTCCAAGATTGCCTGCTGCATTCACTTTAACATAATGACCCTCTGAAAGGTCTGGATATCTCTTCTCCCCAGTTATGGGTCAAATAGTAGAGGAAACTTGGATCTGTAGCTTTTGGTTACAACCAGTCTAAAAGTAGGAAAGTTCTGAATTTAAAACTGTGGAGAAGGCAATAGGAAATCATGCCACTATCTTTCCCAAGATGTCATGACACTTCACAGATAATAAAGAAAAGAAAATTGAGAAGGCAATGGGAAAGCACTCCACTATCTTTCCCAAGATGTCATGGCAAGTCACAGATAATAAAGAAAAAGAATCTGTGAAAAGCCCTACCACTCGGATCACCTACATGTACGAAGTACACGGCATTTAAAAGAAAAAAGAAAGAAAACAAACTAGTCACCTGGCCTTATTTGATAAAACAAATCTTTAACAAACAAGTGATGTTTATTTTGATTTTAACTGCTAAACAAAATGTCATAACTGATAAAAGCAACAAGTAAATGTCCCATTGGATAAGCCGTTAAGTTTCCTTTCTTTAGTGAAGAGATGGGTGAAGTTGTCGATGTAGGAGGAGAGAAAGAAAGGTTTTCTAAATTAAATCAATGTCACTGGAATAGAGACTAGAATGAAAGAGAGACTGGATTGAGAAAATTGCAAAAAAGCATTGCAAAAAAAACATTTTAAAGTAAATGAGAAAAGAGTAAAAGCAGAAAGAAGAGAGAACAAATGAGGGGACAAATAGAAATAAAGTGGGGATCAGAGAATCTTAACTAAGGCAGAAGGGCAGTGACTACTATAGAAATTTAACCATGACGTGTGGAGTAGAGTGACAGCCAGAGAAATTTAGCTATATTGGAGGGTGGGGATAGAGAATAGTCAATACCAAACAAATTTGGCCTATGGCGGGGATATAGAGTAACCAGAGAAATTTAGCCAAAATGGTGGGTAAAATGACAGCCAGAGAAATTTAGCCAAAATGATGGGTAAAATGACGACCAGAGAAATTTAACCACAAACATAGAATAGTGACTACCAGAGAAATTTAACCACAAGCATAGAATAGTGACTACCAGAGAAATTTAACCACAAGCATAGAATAGTGACTACCAGAGAAATTTAACCACAAGCATAGAATAGTGACTACCAGAGAAATTTAACCACAAGCATAGAATAGTAACTACCAGAGAAATTTGACCACAAGAATAAAATAGTAACTACCAGAGAAATTTGACCACAAGAATAAAATAGTAACTACCAGAGTAATTTGACCACAAGAATAGCATAGTGACTACCAGAGAAATTTAGACACCAGAGATGGAGGGGAAAGTAGTAACAACCAGAGAAATTTAACCATGGTTGGGAGGGGGATAGTGCAGCTGAGAGAAGTTTAACCACTAGGGGTCGGGGAGTAGTGACAACCAGACAAATTTGGTCCACAGGGGTGGGATTGTAATGACGACCAGAGAAATTTAGCCACGTGGAAGAGAATGATGACCAAAGAAATTTAGCCAGAGCTTGAGAGGAGTGATGGCCCGAAAAATTTACTCACTGGGGATGGAATGACGACCAAGGAAATTTAACTTCAGGTTTGGAGCACAAACTCTTTGGCCTCCACTAAAATTGAATGCCGTTCCCATTTCTTCATAAATTTTATCCTGTTAGTGTTAACAAACAGGAATAAAAAAAAAAAAAAAAAAAAAAAAAAAATAGGTAAAGAAAGTGTATTAAATTCCTTTCACACTCCTCGGTCCCGTTTTCATAACGCTCCTTCACTGCATTCGTTCATTTATAAAAATTGTGAAAGCAGATGGTTAGCAAGTAATGCATAAAAAATATAATTTTATTTGTTGCGGATTTGAATCAACTCACAATACCTAAGTTTTTAAAAAAAAAAAAAAAAAAAAAAAAAAAAGAAGGTCATATGTGGTAATAAAATATTAACAACCCTCAGTCTCACTCACTCAACAAACAAATTATCTTTCATAAATTGAGGTTACTTAAGTGAAGTATCCGTGAGAACTTTCCATTTGTTTCACTACCTTTGAGAATTTTGAAAGAAATATGGTTCTCCTCCTAGAAATTCTTAAATGTTGGTTATTAAAAAAAAAAAAAAAAAAAAAAAAAAAACCTTTAAAAAATGCATTTTTTTTTTTTTTTGCTATTCAAAACGGAAAAAAGGTTCCGTTGTATTAATTTGTTTTTGTTATAAATAAAACTACACTTACCAAAAAAAAAAAAAAAAAATTACATTTCTTTACGGTAGTGCGTAGTGATTTTCTGCAAGGAAAGTCTGTAAAAGAAGTAAATAGGACATTTTTTCTGATTACATCTGCGTAGGTACTACGCAGTGAATTAGTAATCATGATGGCAGTAATGGGGGACGAACAACAAGAAGTCGATAACTACCAAAACGGTAAGGTTTCTTCATAATTGTTAATTCGAGTTCAGCATGTACATTTGCACGGAATTATGACGATTTGGGGAAAAGTTTAAGGGATATTAGCGCTCGGGAAACATAAAAAAAAAAAAAAAAAAAAAACGAACTAAAAAAAACCATAGGTTTATCCTTAAATCGTTGAAAATAATGTTGTGTGTTAACTGTTAAGTGTTCAGCTGTTAGTAACTAAAAAGGTGCTCTTTCCTTATGGACCTATGAGTGTGTGTAGCAGCTTTTTTATTGCTACCGCCTGGACAGGTAGTTATGGACAGGTTGGCTTGATTCAGAGTTTCTTTTGATTTGATCCTCATAGCATGCCAATTAAGAAATGTTTTTGTTATTTTATATCTGGAGATGAGGCAGATCCAAGAAAAAGAAGTGGGTCCATGCTTTTCAAAGAGCTTTTTAAAACAGTCTTCTTAGAAATTCGAAATCAATTCTCGAATTCCATAATTCACCCACTCCATTGTAAATGTAACAACAGTGAGTAACAGTTAACACCATCTAAAAAATGTTACAGATAAATTTATCTTAAATAATAAAAAAAAAAAAAATAAACCCAGCAAAATAGGAACTTAAAAAAAAAAAAAAAAAAAAAGTTTTTTGTGCTAAAAATAAAAAAAGAAACTCACGAAATCATTAAAAAATTATAAATTTGTAAATATAAAATCTTAGTGAATAAAAGTTGAACCACAAAAAAGTTTTGTAACTTTTGTTTTAAAGTTAAGTTGTTAACTTACTCTGGAATCGATTTTCACACGTTTTATTTTTGGCAGCCAAAAAATACCTTTTCTAAAACAAGTTTTTTATTAAAAGAAAATTCGGTACTCATGGATCCTCTGTCGTCACCTTTTTAATTTACGTATTAGTGATTTTTTTATTAAAGTTAGATGTGATATTTAAAAATGTTTTTAATTGTTTTTCTTTCTTTTTTCAAACTGCTGAGCTGAATGAATCTTCTTTTGGATAGTTTTTTTTTTTTTTTTTTTTTTTTACACATCTGTATTTGTAAAAAAGTTGGAAAATTAATTTATAAAGTGGCGAAAGTTAACCCAAAAAAACCGATAATTCTAATAAACAAATTTAATTAATAAAAGTAAAACCGACTAAAAAATTGTAATTATTACTAGTAGTTTATTTTTTATTAGTAACTTGGTTTAAGAAAAGAAAAGTTTAGTTTCTTTTTTGCGTAATTTACTCCTCGCCTCACAGATTAACTTTTAAAATAACTTTATTTTTAGTTGACATTTTTTGATGTTATTTAAAAAGTTTAAATTAAATTGTGAACATTTAAAAAAAATAGATTTAAAACTAACATGCCGAACAATTAGGGGTGTGTCATAATTTGATACATTTCATTGGTTATGTCTTGTTGTACTCGTGAAAAGTTAAATAACATTAAACAACGGAAGAATTACCTTTTCAGTTTAAAAAGGCATTGAATAAGTAACATATAAAAAAGGACTTCTTTTTAGCAAAGTAAATTTTATAGCAAACTTATAAACTTTTTTTTTTTAACTTACATTTTCAGGAGTTGAAAAGACTCCGTAAGGCAAGTTTTCAATCGGAAAATGATTGTCCGGATTAACTGCAATAAACGACATTTTGAAGAATAAGATCAAGTTGATCTGTGTCGGGCGAACTAAATGCAGATAAATAAACTACGGGTTGCTGTTTCTTTTCTTTTTCTTTTTTTCAAGGTGTAATCCAATTAGTTGACCTCGCCGAAAAAAAAAAAAAAAAGCACACACACTAACCACGTGCCCCTTCCCACTTTAGCATTTTATAACCCCTCCTCCTGCATCCGGACGGTAAATGCCAGTGGGCCATGCAACGTAACAGATAAATAAAGTTAAAAAAAAAAACATTTTGATTACCAATTACTTTGTAATTTAAAACTAAACCATTTTTTAAAAAATCTTTTTACGATTTAAATTTAAAACTAAGACTCGCTAATTTTCTTTTCGTATGTTTTTGCTTTTAATAGTTTCAGATATGTTTTAAATGTTATTTATTTTAATTACCGCTAAAAACGAATAATAAATGTTAAAATTGATTTAAAAAGCCAGTTATTAATATTTATTTTTGCGGTTTTTAAAATACTGAATACGAAAGTAAGGACAATCATTGCCCTCAACGAGGTCGTGCTATTTAATTTAAGTGTAAGAAGATGAATGTATCAATGTCTCTTTGAATAGAAGAGTTATTCCTTAACCAAAAAAAAAAAAAACATGTTTCGACCTCGCTTTTTCAAATTATCCAGTCGCATATGTTTGACATGTGCCCGGAGGAAATATTCCAATGTTACTGGAATTATCGGTACAAAACCCGACACTTCTTCACCTGAATATAAAGTGAGTTGTTTTATTTATCTCTGGACTTTCAACCAAGCAACGAACACTGGAAAAAAAAAACAACATATATCCAATTTTTTTCTTGTTATATTAATTTTAAAAACTTTCAGGTGTGATTGGTTATTAAATAGAAATACCTTTAGGATTTACGCACTTTACTTAAATTAGACGAATAAATAACTTGGCTTGATTAAATTGTTGGTTGCCAAGTTTTTGACTGATTTTTTTTAAAGTCACATGTTTCTACAAAGGAATCCCGTCAGTTTTTACGTACAATCTCTTAGAATTGGTTACTATTTTTATTTATTTATTTTTTTTATAACCCGGCTAATCATATTATTAAATTTCAAATTTTAGATAGCATTATTTATTTTTTTTTTAATTTTCTATAACGAAATATACTTAAAATAAATACATACAGACCCAATTTTAACACAGAAGCTGCTACTAATATTTTTATTTTAAGTACTTTAGCTTTCCTTTCACCTTACGTTTATTGATACTTACTGGATAAATTAAAAATACTATCATAAAAATAACTGTTGAGTGAGATAAAATTTAATAAGAAAGTTACATAATTTTCTGTACATTTATGAAGTTTTAGAGTATTTTATTTTTATATCCGTCATCTTAAAAATCGTTATGTTGTTATTTAAACTCTGAGAATTATTTTTGCAAGAATTTCCAAATTAATGTGTCTATCACCGCAAAAAAAAAGGATAGGGCGAAAATTTTTTACTATAAAAATTTAGTGCAACCGCCAACGCAAGAAAAACAAGTTTTTTAATCAAAAATTTGAATGATCTTTAAATGCAAAAAGATTTTAAAATAATAAAAAAAAAAACTTTGGTCTTTCCTCTTTAATGATAATGTAAATATTTAGACGATAAAATTTCGTTTTCATCAAATTTAAGGCCGTTTTTATCATGATATTCTCTTTGTTTTTAGCGATTTCATGAAGTTACCTACAAAAACACGATGACAATTTTAGGAAAATTAGGTGAATTTTTTTCTCTTTTTAATAATCTCCAAAAAAACCGGCTTTGTCATAAATTTAATTTATTAATATTTTAAATAGGAAACCTTTTAGTCACTAAAATGTTTCCTATTTATTATAAAATATTAATAAATACTACGAATAAAATAAACTACTTCCATCCTTGACCCTATCTTCAGAAAAAAAACGTGTACACAATAAAAGTAATTGTACACGTTTTTTTTTGTTTTTTTTTTGTCAATAACAAACAAGGACAATGAATAAATTGTGTTCGACTTTTTTTTACACGTTTCTCTTTCTCAACATTTGAACGACTTATCGAAATAAATGAATTCATTATTAAATGACACAATTTATTTTTATTTTATTTTTTTTAAGTAAGACGTAAAGTTGAATATTTTTTATTTTATAACTAGAAATAAAAACTAAAAAACATTATTATTGATACCTTATGAAAACCATCACCTCCTAAGGGATACGAATTTGGGAGATTTTTAACCCAAATCATAGAAAAATGTTTATTTTTCATTTGCCATACGATTGTATCTTAAAATTATTCTTTGACAAATTAATTTTTGGGGGTTTGGCAATATTACCCCTTATTGAGTTTGGCGTTTCAAACGACTTCTGCATACCAAAAGAAAGAGTAAGAAGACTGATTTACTTCTCTCTTATGATCCTTCTTTAAAACAAAAAAATACACCTACAAATCGTTTGGAGCAGCCACCCGAAAAATAACCTACAAGCGAAGAATTATTCCTATCCTTATGAAGGACTTATTTTCAGATTCCGACCGAGATGTTCGCGTTTAACTGCACAAATGCCCTTGAGAAATTAAGGAATTTATCTGTTCTTCCCCCGACTGCAATAAAATAGTAAGGTAGTTCTTTAGCTTTGCTGGGGGCAACCAGTCTTGCTAGAAGGATACTAATTCTATTCTAAATAAAATTTAAAAAAAACCTCATCAACACGTCATGATCCAGCATGGCAGGATCATGACGTGTAAGAAGGCTCATCGCCCTCAACTCTTTGAGCAAAGACAGAACATTGCAGTAGTTTAAAAAAACAAAAACAATGAAAACTAAAAAAGGATTGATTAATAAATTGAATTGTATTTTTTTATTTTATAATGAATATATAGTGGGGGGATGTTATGGAAAGGTCTTCTCTTTTTGTGAGTTTATTGTCCGAAAATATTTTTTTAATCAATTATGTCATCCCTGTTTTTTGTTTCTTGTTTTTATTATGGGGAGATGAAATTTAGGTGAAAAAACAAGTTTTAAATTTTAAGACTTTTTTTACATACCAAATGCTTGTTTATCTCCCTTACATCAGATCCGCACTTCTTGAACGAGGCTCATATTATGAGACCTCCTTTCATTATGAATAATGGTATCTATCGTAATTCTGAAATAGGTGAACAGTTTCTAGACATGCATGCGGCATCCTGAAAAATAAACTGTCTTCACAATTTTTGTCTAACTGTACATTCTCAGCAGTTTGAATGTATCTATTCCATTATATTGGCACATTGAATAAATAAAGCTGGACTTCTGAAAATATAACATGGTACACTACAATATTGTGTAATAACTTTTTGGCAGTTTTTTTTTTTTTTTTTTTCAATTTGTAAAAAGCAAAAAAAAAAATGACTATTGTAGAAATAATAATTTCGTTTGTACTTAAAGCACCATTATTTGTGTCGTCATTACATTTTGCCACATTCTAGATGGGATCAGTATTTCAGACAAGTACTATATTCTCCTCAAAGATGAAGAAGAGACTTAAAACAGCGGAAGGGTGATTCTACAGAAGGATGCTGAGGATACTGTGGACCAAACATGTGAGCAACAACAAAGTTTTGAAAAAAAAAGAATGGAAACAAAAAGGAAACTAATACTCAACATCAGGAAGAGATAGTGGGGGTTTGCTGCGGCATATATAATGAGGAAAGAGGGCTTGTAAAATCTGATACTCACAGGACAGAGGGAAAATATACATAATGTACTTGGTGAGCTTGAGTAAATAAATGGTGGAACAGGGCTTTGGAGAAATAACAGACAGTTTATTAAGAGCTACAAGGAGTAGGAAGTTGTGGAGAGCAATGATCATGTACATCCTGAGGGGACAAGGCTTTTAAAAAAGATGACTACTAGGTTCCTTTTCATTTTTTTCTATTTTTTGTGTGACAGTACCCAAATAGTGTGAGTTCAATACCCGGTTAAAGCAGTGGAGAACTTTCAGAGGGAAAATTAACAGGAGATAACTGATAACTGACATCCATCAAAACATGGCACGTGGAACTAGAACAGTCTACCCCAGTGAGCGAAATAAAAGATTCAATTCAACATTCCAACCACCTGAAGAAAGCCGGAGCATACAACAGCCAAAACATTGTAATAAATATGGCGACAAAGATGAGGATAATAGTCCGAATAATGTAAATAGCGTAAAATTAAACTTTTTTTTTTTTTCTTTTATGCCCTATATATTCAAGACATAGGCAGTCATGATGTGTTGCCTTCTCCATGGTTTAAAATTCAGTTTTTCTTATGTTACTCATTGCCACTGAAGGCTGGAGAGCACAGTCTACCCTTAGCTAGGAGACAGATTCATATCTTTCCCAAGAGCGTTTGAACTTGGCTTGACAATCCCACTTTTCAAGCCAATATCCATTGTGCTGTCCACATATCCCTTACTACAGAAATCATTTTGCTTATTCATAGTCAAATTGTTTTTTTTTGGGGGGGTATGAGTATTAATTCACTTTTTAATATATTTTTTTTTTTTTTTTTTTTCCTCACCATTTTACTACTTCAGGAAAACTATTCTCGCATGCTTGGACATGTTAATGAACTCAAGTCAAGAGTGGCAAATATTTTACAAGGTAAGTCCATACTTTGGTTGGTGCTTCATTTAGATTAATTGCTAAGGTTAATTGATGTGACTAAGATTGAAAACACATGCACACATGTCTGAATAAAAACCAAAGGAAAACTTATCTCGGCCAATGTGTTTCCGTCCATGGCTGTTTAAAAGCCTTGTTTTTGTCATATAGGAAAATCCAACATGGCGCATAAACAAAATATTCGGCAAAAAATCCAATTCATCAGTAACATTTTAAACACCACATAGAATGTAAAGTTCTTAAAGCAAACCTGTGCCAAACTGTTTTCCTGAATCCTTGATGACTTGGCTGTCCGAAAATGACATCAAGATGAAATAATGGAAACTGACCATGAAAAAAAAATGCAATTATGTAAACTTCTAAGTTTTTGGGACAACGTTATAGGATCTATTGTTTGCACATGGAAATTCCTGGTAATTAATCTTTGATTTGGCTGTGGAAAATGTTCGACAGCACAAAATTATGCCCAAAGGAGAAAAATCCTTTTTTTTTTTTTTTATGGAAAAATTCCTTTTTTTTTTTTTTTTTGATTTGGCTTTTTTTTTTTTTAGAGAAAATGTCACTTTTTTTTTTTTTTTTTTATTATGAGAGAAAAATCCTTCTTTTTTTTTTTTTTTGAGAGAAAAATCCCTTTTTTTTTTTTAAGAAAAATCCCTTTTTTTTTTTTTTTTTTTGAGAGAAAAATCCTTCTTTTTTTTTTTTTTTTTTGAGAGAAAAAAATCTTTTTTTTTTTTTTTTATGAGAAAATCCCTTCTTTTTTTTTATGAGAGAAATCCCTTTTTTTTTTTTTCTTTCATGAGAAAAATCCCCTTTTATGAGAATTTTTATTTTCACTTCAAAATGACATCATTCAAACTTAATCTGTTTCTCCTTAATTTCATGTGAACATCATTGAATAAAAAGAATGGCTGAATAGCCTGATGATGGGAAATACGAAAGACATGCAATGAAAAAAAACAATGTTGTCTGCTAAATGTTGTTGTCATCACCTGGGTCACGGGGTGTTAAAACAAAACAAAATACATCAAGCCATTGTTCAAACATAGTTTAAAAAAAACAAAAAAAACCCTTATATCAAGCCCTACCAATGTTGACCTTTTTTTTTTTTTTTTTTTCCTCCACTCTTTGGTCTTATCTGGGAGTGGTGGGTTTTATTACAAGCTAACAACAACTTGTTCTAAACGTTTATTGTTGGCTGGCTGACTTTTGACCCAGATATGTCAAAGTAAATTTGGCTTAATTTTCCTTATTGCTGCTATTTTTTTTAAAAAAAAAACAAAAAAAAAAAAGAATACTTTTGGTTTTTGGTTGTCAGTAATTGCAGATAAATCTTTCGCCTTTTACTAAAGATTTCTGTGGCCGGGTGTCAAGTTTTTTAACCCCTGGCAGTCATATAATTGAAAATTACCACTGGACTTTGTCACATTTGCCCCCCCCTCCATAGAAATGTTGATTTCCTTCAAAACTCTCAATTTTATGCCTGAAATAGTTTGATTATGAGTTAGGCTTTCTGATTTTCTCCCCAAAATGGTTAATTTCTCATTAGTGGGGAAAATTTCTGTTTAGAACTAGAAAAAATGCAAAATTTTCACTATTTTTTTCACATTTTACCCCCTGAAAAAAAAATTTTGAATGATTTACACCAGCCAATTTTACTTTTAAATGAAAGAATATATCCTTTGCTTTCAGAAAATACCTAATTTCATGGAGTTCAGATCAAAAGTTTCCTTGATATTTGTTTAGAAGATGATAAAACAGTCATTTTTCAATATTTTACTCCTATAAAAGTATGAAAATCCATTTTTTTTTTTTTTTTTTTTTGAGAGAGAAAATAAGCTGTGACAAAATGACTTCTGCCATTTTTGTGATGATTTTTACTTGGGATAGAAAATTTTTACTATAGCAAACCTGAATTGACTTTATTTAAGTTCAGTAGGGCTATAGGAGTCCTCAAACAGCTGTGTATCCAATGACATACTTTATCAAAGCAAGTTTTCCTTTTGTCTTTATTCATATTGTCATTTTACAGCTATATTGTAGTTATGTCTGAAATTTTTTTTCTCTCTCTCTCTCTCGCACACACGCACACACACGGAATTACTTGCTTCATGAATTAGCTCTTGACTGAAAGGTTGAAAGGAAAAAAGACATGAATAATTTAAATTTTGTAGCCATGTAGAATGGATCCAAGTTCAAATTCCAATTGGGTTTGTTACATTCACTTGTGCACAAATACCCAAGGGAAAGGTATGAATCCATCCCTTTCCTCTGTCCCCCAGCTATGGGTTGAATAACAGAATAAACTTTCCTGTAGCATTGGTTGGCAATCAGTCAAGAAAGGGAAACCTGCTGCAGGAAAATCTTCTACCCTAGTCAATCATGAATCTACATGATCACTCGAGCATGTATCATGTATGGTACTTAATTGATTGAGCCATCAACTGTGACAATTACCACCACCAGCTTGAGGGTGGTGACCACTTTAAAAGTAGGGAGGGTGGTGGTTGTAGTTGGTATATACAAATTAGTTGAACAATTTTTGCTGGCATCTGAAAATCACTTTTATCATGAAACTGACAGTAATGCTAATGAGCTTGTGAAAACTAGGATTTTAAGCATTTCTCTCTTTTTCTTTTTTTTTCTTAAGGCAATTTCTAAAACATAGGTCTATGTCTAATTTTGTTCTGACTCTATCCCTGATAATGAGTTAAAAAAAGCACATTAATATAAAATTGTGCAAAGTTTTATGCAAATCCAATGGAATAGTAAATATATGAAATACTTTAGAAAAAATGTCCCAATAATGTAGATTTTGTTTTTGTAAAATCCTTTTTCTGACACCCCTGCTTTGTCAGTGAAATGCATCAAAGTAGAAATTTTCCAAACTGTCATAGATTTATCATTTATATATAATTATATATAACTCTTTTTTTTTTTTTTTTTTTTTTTTTCTTTCCCCTTCCAACCTAGGTGGTGGAGAGAAAGCCAGAACTAGACATACATCCAGAGGTAAAATGCTCCCAAGGGACAGGATAAACACACTTTTAGATGTTGGGTAAGTAATTTTAATAAACAATTGACTCTAGAAGCTTTATTTGTTGTTGTTTTTTTCTGTTTTTGGGGGTTTTTTTTCCCTGTTATTTTTTTTTATTTTTTTTTTATTTATGCCAATTTTTTTTTTTTTTACAAATACATTAATCATCATTTTATGTCTTTCTGAGAAAGTTTTTCAAAAAATATATAATCATGAATTTTGCTGTATTTCTGAGTTAATCATCTTTCATTTAGATTTGCTAAAAAATAATAAGAAATGTTAAATAGGAAATGTTTATCAGTCTAACATGTTTCAATTTTATTAAAACTTCATCAGAGAATGAGATATGGAAGAAAAAAAGAAATTCTGTTATTTTTATTTTTTGTGTTTGATTCATATTGGTTAATCATGTTTCACATACATTCGACTTGTTAAACAAACATTGGTATAAATTATGGTGTTCTGAATTCAAAGAGACGATATTTCCATTAGAAATTCAAAGAAATTAATGGATTCCAAACTTAATTGAAAAACCGTAAATATTTCTTTATGTATGTAAGTGTATAATAATTCTAGTTTGTCTATATGGGATTCAGATGATAGTGTATATTCATAAGTGCATGTTTGTCTAGTAGAAATTCTTTGACTTTTTCCTTGTTGATTTGGGAACTTTTTTTTTATGTATATTTGCTTGTATCTAAAAAAAATATAAATTTCTTGATTATATAAATTACAAATAATAGTGTGAAGTTTTATTGCTTCTTTAAGCCATCACCGATTATATTATCTCCCTTTCTTAAAAAAAAAAAAAATACCATCCTATTGAATGAAAGTGACTCTTGAAAATATTCCCTGAATTCTGTAATATGTTGCAAAAATCAAGAAATTGTTCATGAATTTTAAGACTCAAAACAACAAAGATAAGAACAAATAATTTATGGAATTTATATACAAAATTAATTTTGCCAGTGGTAAATCACATGTTATGTATATAGAGATTCTTGATTAAATCCAAATAAGAATCTGCAATGTTGTTGGTCCTAACATGGCATCTCAGTTTCAATCACCATTGAACTGTAGCTTCCTTGTGACATTGCTTATAAACATTTCATGGTAATTGTTCTGATAAGCTTTCCTCTTTATTGTTGGGGCCAGAAATAAAGACACAAAGAGAAGAATTGAGTTTAACAAATATATTAATAGAAAAACAGTAATGCAATCATATACAAATGAGCAAGAATGTTAAGTGTGACTGCTGGAAACTGCACCCTCTAAAAAGCAGTACCTGCTCTTATTTGTAACTGGGAGAGCCCATTACCATGTCAATTACTTCATCCACCACAAGGAAAGTTGGCTCCCTGTGCTGCGCCAAGAAATTTTTCTCCCCGGAATCAATCCTCCAGATCTACAAATCGACAATTCGCCCTTGCATGGAGTATACGCTGCCATATATGGTCTGGTGCCCCTTCTGTTTGCCTCGGGGTTCTTGATAGGCTCCAGAGGCGGATATGCAATATAATTGGCCCTGCTCTGGCATCTCGTCTACAGTCACTTTCTCACCGACGCGCTGTCGCTTCTCTTTCTCTATTCTACAAATACTTTCATGGCAATTGCTCCGAGGAGCTGCATGCGCTAGTTCCCAGACGTCATGAGTTCAAGCGCCTTACGAGGCTGGCATCCCACTCTCACCCCTTCACTGTCGAAACTCCTAAATGTAGCCGTCTCTTCTACTCCAATAGCTTCATGTCTGGCACCTCTCGCCTGTGGAACTCCCTTCCCTACTCCAGTTTCCCTGAGAGCTATAATCTCCAACTATTCAAATGTAATGTCAATCAACATCTCCAGTTGCCTTGATCTATCCACTACCCTTCTCCTCATACCCTCTTCTATCACTCCTATCTGATCTCGCTCTAAATTTTCTGTAACCCCTTGCGTCTTAGTGGCTTCCCGCCTTGCTTCGGGTGAAAAAATTTAGTACCACAAATTTACAAAGGTTTAATCATTTTACAGTTTAAATGGCTAGATGTTATCATCAAATCTATGATAACAGGTTTTACTCTCACACTCCTCCTCCCTTGTAGAACTATCTTTTGGCGTATTGCTTCCCAGTTAATTTTGATTTTCCAAAGTTTAAATGCAATGTCAGTCATTCTCTTCTGTTTTCTTAATTCTTGCTATTGTTCTCTCCTTAATAATGTCTTTCTTTTTTCTCATTCTTTCACTCTCAGCAACCCTCTGCATCTTAGTGGCTTTATTGCCTTGCTTGGAGTCAAATGAGTTTAAAAAGCAAAAGATGCTATTCAGTTTCTATGTGAACAATATCCTTAGCATTTGTGAAAAAATAAGTGAAATTACCTGCGTAGGAGACCGAGTGTTTGCCATGGCTTGTTTTCAAAGCAAGGCTGCTCTGAGCACTGGTTTTTGTAATCCTTTTACCAGAAGGGGTGGGATGCACAGGTCTACTTACTTAAGGCCTGCCTTCCCACCTTTCTCATCTATTTTTTTCTGAGAGGAGTCATTTTACAAGCTCTCTTGTCTCATTATTAATTGATCCCTGACTGAAATTTGGTTCAGGAGACTAGGCTGTGTTTCACAACACTTACTCTACCAGACCAGCTTCCGATTTACTCTTTGAGTTGAAAGGAATTTTTGACTCATTTTAATTTATGAAAATATTTGTCTACCAACCTTGGGTTTACTTTATATCAAGAATCAAGAATAATAAAGAAAATAGTAGCTAGTAACAATTAAATATGAAACTCTGTAACGATACAAGAAATAGAATATTGCAGAAAGTTTTATTTTATATTTTCAGCCGCCTAATATAGAAATAAGACACACTTTGCTGCATTTGATGAAAATAATGCTAAATTTTTATACTTAATGAATTTAGCTTAATTATACCACAAGGTTAAATAAGTAGAAACAAGTGCTAGGAAGATGGCATTATGTTAATCTTTCCCTGAAAGTGCCAACCAGCTGTCTTGAAGATCAGCATTTTGAACTCTGTTCAAATTTTGGTCATTAGTGCCAGTAAGAAATAGGGTAACAGTCTCATCTATCACAACAGCACCAAAGATCAGGCTAAGACTTAATGGTTTGTAAGAATTTCATTGAATTTTGCCAATTTGACACAAGGTTACATTTCTAGAGTTTGATAAATCTATTAAAAAGTGACTCTCTCCTGGCACATTCCACCAAAAGAAAGAAATGCATTGGAAAATTATTAAATAATTTAAACCCTTAAATGCCAACCATCCAAAGAATTGATCAGTGGGTATTAATGGTTTATAGATAGAAACCTATAAATAATACCAGTTTTTTTTTTTTTGTTTTTTATTTATTAAGGAACCTTATAGTTTATACCAGTTTCTTATTCTTTTTCTTTGTTCTTCTTTTTCTTCCTTCCTCTTTTTTTCTTTCCTCTTTCTTCTTTTTCTCTTAAGGAAGCTTGTAGTCAATACAATATCTTTTTGTTTTTTTTTCTTTGGTTAATGCCAGAATTTTTAGGATGCTTTTAGTTTGTACTGTTTTTATGAAACTTACAGTTATTAGCAGATAATTAAAACCAAATTATTTATTTTAAGAACCTAAATTATCTTTTATAAAGTGGGATTTTACAGCAGTCATTAATGAGTTAATTAATCAAATTATTTTCTCCTAATTTATGAAGATTTTTCCTAATAATTTTCTCTTTATATACAGTTCCCCTTTCCTCGAGCTTGGGCAGTTGGCTGGCTATGAGTTGTATGGTAAAGAAGAAGTTCCAGCTGGTGGACTCATTGTTGGTATTGGCAGAGTCTCAGGGTAAGGTTTCCTTTTATCAAATTTTCCACTTAATTATTCATGAAAGGCTTGAGTTCTGCAACTGAAGTCAAACAATGGCCTCAGCTTCAGCCAGAGGATTTCCACATGTGTACTGCAACACACACACACACACACCCACATGGAGGTGGGGGGTGCTAAAAAGATAGAGGCTCCGACTGAGAAATCTGAGAGCCAAGTTCAAATTCCAATCAAGTTCATTACAGTCACTTTTGTGCAAATGTCCTTGAGAATGGGTAAATAACAGAACTGACTGGGCTCTATATCTTTAAGTGGAAACCAATCTAGGAGAAGGTCAACTCTGTATTTGGCCCGTCTAAAAAGTGTGGTTGGTTCTGAACAGCCCTTTCCCACCATAATCAACTCTTATGTGCCATGATGGGAGATTCCAGTAACTGAGCACTATTACTGCTGATTTAGCATTTATTTACATCACGTATATAATACGTTAAAACATTCTCTTTCTCTGCCATGTGCTGATAGCTTAGGGGTAGGGTCTCTGACTGATGCAAAATTGGTTGAGTTTTGATCTGGCTTGAAGCAATCAGATGTGTAGCCACACTGATGAGCTGTGATACAGTGAAACTGCCTGTATGTGGATATATATATATATATATATATATATATATATATATATAATATATGGTCTCTAATGCAGATGAAATATGGATTGGAATCCGACAGGATGACAAAATAAAGAACAAATAGGAAACATATATCATACTAACAAAGTTGGGTGTGGTGAACAGCCCCGTAGAAGCAAGCGAGCCAGAGTGACTTGCATCTGGTGTATAGGAAAATAAGGGTCTTACCTTAACGTGCGGCATGTGACATCAACAAGTTTGCTTCGTGAAAATGGCATTACTCTCCCGTACAGCCATTCTAGAAGTATGTGCAAGGATGAGGGTTTTTGTACAGTTTGGAATGCTTCCACCAATAGCAAGTTGTGTGCTGAAATGTCTAGCTTTGTTGGTTGGCGGCCAACTGCCTGAACAATGGATGACATGTGCCTTCATTTCTGGACTGCCGCAACAAGTCAAGCAACTTCTCCGTGCATCATCCAGAATGGACACTATGATGTTGGACCAGATCCTGACTCACGCTCGGATGAGTCAGTTGCCGCAGCAGCTCAACGGACGGGAGAGTAATGCCATTTTCACGAAGCAAACTTGCTGATGTCACGTGCCGCACGTTAAGGTAAGACCCTTATTTTTCTATACACCAGATGCAAGCCACTCTGGCTCGCTTGCTTCTACAGGGCTGTTCACCACATTGGGACTGGTCTCTTTAAGCATGTACTCTTTGTATTGAATAAATTAGATTCTTTAAGAATGGATTCAAAGAAAGCTGGCAATGTAATATTTTAGGTGTATGTTTATAGTTGATAAATAATGTTATTAAGTTTTCAAAGTATTTTCTCCTGAAAGAATTGTTCTTTTTTAATTATGTCCAGCATCGTTTCTATGCAACATGAGTTTGAGCATTTGTCTAAATACAAATCTCTCTTATGTTCATAGATATGAGTTTTTAGATGACGTGATGTCTCCCCCACATAAGCATTTTTGCATTGTAAACAATTAATTTGATAAATCTCAGCATTTGAATTGGTGTTGGATTTATATTTCAGAAATATAAGTAGGAAGAAATATAAACCCAACACCAAGATATTTCACTGGAGATCAATATATATCTTCAAATGGGCATCATTCATGGCTTATAGCCATATCACATTCAAGCATCAGTTCTTGTCCAATCACCGATGTCAAAGCCTTCTCAGTACCTAAAGAGGTGAGCACTTGAGAATACCAGGTGCTGTAAGCTTGGATGTGCAGGTGGTGTAATGGATAGCACCTCCTGAATGTCAATCAGAGAGCAAATTCCAGAACAGATCGTTATATTCAATTACATGCAAATACCTTTGGGAAAGCTATGAATCCACCTTTTCTCCCTCCAGCAATGGGTTAATTAGTAGGACTTGTATGAATAAAAAGTCATTATTATCTCCAAAAATTTCTTATCTAAAAATATTTTCTGGCTTTAAATAACCTGCGAAAGGTTGATAAGCCACAAAAAATAAATCAATCATTAATTCATGATTCAATTTTAAATGGTTATTTGCCAAATCTAGGATCCTGATGTTACTATTTATTTGGATTCATGATTTTAAGTCATCTTCTGGAGTGTTTGCTTGCAAATAAATCTGGAAGAACAAGCCAAAGACTATTCTATATCTGTATGCATCCTTCTAGAATAGAATAGAGGTAAAAAATGGTGACATCTTGATGCAAAGAATGGACAATTTCATTGAACATAGAATTATTCGAAGACTATCATACTGGTAAAAATATTAAATTTAAAAACTTAATGTTTGTTTTATTTCCCTTTTTCTTTATTTTTATAATCTTATAAAATTAAAATACCATTCTTATAATTTTATAAATTGGGGAGGGGTAAGTGTTTTGCAGTCATTCCAAATTGGAATCCATGTCTGGAATGCTTCAAAGAATATCATACTGTTAAAAAAAAATATTAAATTTAGAAACCTGACATTTGTTTTATTTCCCTTTTTTCTTTATTTTATTTCCCTTTTTTTCTTTATTTTATTTCCCTTTTTTTCTTTATTTTATTTCCCTTTTTTTCTTTATTTTATTTCCCTTTTTTCTTTATTTTATTTCACTTTTTTCTTTATTTTGATAAATTGATATTTCAATGGAGGTCAGCAGATATCATCAACTGATGATATAAACTTTTTCCAATGATAAGATCATCATTCATTCATGATTTGAGTTTAGTTTAAATGTCTAATTGACAACTCTATGATTCATGATGTTACTATTTACTTGGATCCATGAGATTTTGTCATTTCTTAGAATATTTGCCTGAAAGTAAAGTTGGAAAACAAACCAAAGTCTCTGCTGTGTTTGCATGCATAGATCACAAAGAGGTGCAAAATGACAACAACTTGGTGCAAAGAATATACACCTCCATGGGTCAAGTGTTTTGCAGTCATTCCAGATTGAAATCAACACCTGGAATGCCTCAAAGAATATCATAGATAAAAAAAATATTAAATTTAGGATCTTGACATTTGTTGTTTTTTTTTTTCCCTTTTTCCTTTTTCTAATCTAAAATTTTATAGTTTTTGTAGATAAAGTATATATTATATATATATACACTGTGAAAGTCTTCAGATAAGCCTTGGTAGTACCTGTATATACACTGTGAAAGTCTTCAGATAAGCCTTGGTAGTACCTGTATATACACTGTGAAAGTCTTCAGATAAGCCTTGGTAGTACCTGCATTTTAG